AATGTTTCAAGAATGATGCGTTAGTTCGAGTCGACGCAACTGGCAATTAGGGTTTACGATTAGTTTATTTTTACTAAGTAAGGGAAATCTCGTGTCATGAAGGCACTTAAAAATACAAAAGTACAAAAAAAAACTAAATCACAAATTATTGAACGATTTTTCCGTTCGTACTTGCAAACGAGGTCTCCTCATTAACATTACTTAACTACTTGTTGCCTCATACGTAAATCAATAACAAAGGTAACATGTGAAATTAAAATAACAAATGAAAAAAGAAGTAAAAATCAGTTTACTGATGGAATTGCAAATTCATCAGCTGCTTCGGAAATCAATGGTTCACATTAAATTCCTAAACCAAAAAATAAATTGCGTCTTTTAAACAAAAGTTCTCATGACATTATTTTGTGTGAAAAAGTACGTACGTATTAAGTAGTAAAATTAATATGGAAAGTTCCACTTAACTGATGAACTTCTTTGTGAAGTTTTTAGGTGTGAACTATTACTTCACACCTAACTTTCTTCAGAAACTCCACGTCAAGAAGCTTGTATTTTAATATTTAGTCTCATAGTCTCCAAGACCTAACATGTTCGAGAAATAAATAAAAATTGTTTTTCTTGTGTGATTTTTTTTGTACCAGTATAAAATATATGGTCAACATTCTTGGTACAACTTGATTTTCAAAATCTAGACTCTGCTGATACGAAATGCAGACAAGCCGCGTAAAAGCAACATTCATATTTATTCTTGCTCAATTTATTTTTATTATGCAATTGGTGCCCGTGGGTTTGTAACATCCTGCAAACCAGTAAGCGTATCACATTTGTTGCCTCTCTAAACATTTTTGCCGGCTGCTCTGAACTTTGTAAATTATTTTGATTTAGTCGAATAATATTTGGCTGCTAAAACATGATTGGTAACATGATGATTGGTAATAGTTAAACTGTTATGGGAATCTGTTCAAATAATTTTACGACACCATGTGGTCGTCCTTCATGTCCATGAAACGCCATTTTGATTACATCAGCGGTTTGTTAATTTTTACTCAAGCAAATTATTAATAAAAACATCTAAAAAACACACAATATTTTATGGCATATTAATTGAAGTGGTTTGGATTTTTTGCGAATAATACAGCCATTAGTTTTGCTAAAATTTGTGCCTCCATATCTAGTCTACTCATAATTATCAAATTATCAAGTCAATCAAGGCTATAATATGACCTTAGCGTTCATTGTATTTTGTTGGAATGGAATTATAATTTCGCCATAAGATAAGATATTTTTCTATTATATATTATACATACAAGTATGTAGCACAAATCAACGCTTTTCCCATAAAAATTAAAATTTGAAAATTTACTTATTAGTTCAGAACAAAAAAATGAACCTTCTAATTGGTAGTGTATTATCTGTCTATAAAGTAAATTCAATTTACTTAATTATTTCATATTTCAAAAATTTATTTAATTATGAAATAATCCTGCCATTGTTTTCACTCTAGGGTACTTAATGTCCCTCAAAGGAGACGGCTTTTGATAGAATATTCTACCTAATGTTTCCAAAACGAATACGAATGAATTCTAACCTACTTCATCTAAACATTTTCATTTCTGGATGCTTTACTTGCAACTTATTCTAATAATAATGTCGAGTGTCGATGGCCCAGGAACACGGTCTGTGTTGCTCCAAACAATTTCATCAAAGTAAACTTAGAAGTTGTAAATAATGTAAAATCCCACCACATGTGCGCTTCTGAGAAGAATTCGTACACAACAAAATTTGCTTTCCAAATGGGAAAAATGATTGTAGATTATTATTATTTAGTTCAATAAAGTAAAAACCTTAGATAACATTGAAATAAAGCGATTCTGAAAAAGAAAAATTTCAAGCAAAAACGGTCTACTAGAGAAATGTACAAATCAAAGCAAAGTAATCTAAAATCAATTAAAATCTTAGCACATAAAACAGTATCGGGAGTAAAAATCAAATGACATCACTTACTTATCATTTTTTGGTAAAATTTAAAAAACGTTAATGAAGAAAATTAACAGTTTTTTTTCATATACTGAAAGGAGAAGATATCTCGAAAATTACTAAGCACATAACTGCAGTACACTTAACTGTGGTACAATTTAGCAACGGAGGCGACAAGTCAGCTGAACTAGGTGTTAAAACAAAATAACTTGAAGAAAATTTAATGAATACAGGGATACCTATTTACGCTATTTCTAAAAGTTTACTTGCCCAAATAGACGCCTTAAAGGGCAACTCAAACAAAAATGACAAATTTTCATATACAGGATGGCCCCGAACTCGATGGTCGCAGCTTAAAAGCGTATTCTTGGCCATTTTTAAGTTGAAAATGTTTTACAGGCTTTTCTCCAAACCTCAACAAATAACAATCGAGTTTTGACGAAAATTGTATTGTATATATCTTCGATTTAAAATTGACCAAGGAATACGAGAGACGAGAGTTGCAGTACAATTCAAATTCGATACAAAAAAACGTAGAATAGCCCCTCAAGAAGACTGATTGATGCTCAGATCGAATGGACAAATCCGCAATAATAAATTTTCGCACTGACATTTACATATCTTTTTATTTATAAGTTGCCTATCGAAATGCCATAAAGTTAAAGAAAAATGTAACAACTTATTCCACCGCGGATACATGCCAATTCTGAACGGGAGATTTGAAAAACAATTTAGGATCAAAACAAACCGAAACATTTTTCACAACAAATAAATCACGAAGTGAACTGCCATCCATTGATGACCAATAATTTGCTTCTGTCGAAATAGCTCAAGTAACTCTTGGGTAATATAATTGATGAATTCCTTAAAGTGCACGAGGGATTAATAAATAAAGTAAACAGGGTTCGTCAGGATCGCAGAATGATTACATCATTACATGCATGCAAAATGTATGTTTTTCGACATACGCTTCCACAAAAAGAACAAATTTCCTCTTTTAAGGACCATTCACAACAATAATCAATAGTAGCTATAGTCTTAGAACATGTAAACTGCCCTCAATAAGTATTTATATTGATTATATTACATCCAATGCTATAATCAGCCTTGCCTTGTGGTTAGTTTATATTTTACTGTTGCTGTTTCAGTAAAATAACTATGAAAGACTGGACAAATTATAATCCATTATTTGCAAATGCAATCCATTGTACCATGTTTGTAAAAAAATATTGTAAATAGCTCAATAATACATTCGTTTAAAGAAACGGTAACTCCTTCACACCAATTTAAAATCCTTTCTGCACGAGCAAAATAAAATTTCATATTTTCGTTTTAAATTTTACTTGCTAACTACGAGCAAAAGTGCATACGCTTCACTGAGCGTTAACACAACCTCCTGGTAAACGCTATTTAAATTCAGAACAGAAATACAGCAAAACTTCTTATTTACAGGTCAGCGGATACAAGATATGTTCATATTAAAGAGTTGCGTTTCTCGCACCGGAAATTAACAAAATATTAATAATATTATTGCCTATAGTGAGTAAAATCTGAAACAACTATCTGAAATAGTCAAAGCAAATTTATTTTTAAATGTTCTTTCTTACATAATGAAATGTGAGTTAATAATAAATTACGTTGTTAGAAAGATATTTAAAGCGTTTAGAAAAGTAAAGTTCAACAGCCAGTAGCACATATCAAAGCATCTGCGAACCGCATTAACGTTTAAATGTATAGCAAACCATTCCTCAGTATCACTCATCCAACAGTTTCACTTATTTATTACATGTAAGTGTTATTATTTTTAAATCGGTAACTTGTTAGTGCTGCATGACGTGACCATCAGATATACAGGGTGGTTTTTTAGTGCGAGAGAGTCCATTATTTCCGCTGGTGTTGAACTTTCGAAAAATAGTTTCATATAAAAGTTGTTGACGCACAAAGTGCGTTTATTTTAAAAATATCTTATACAGAGTGTCTCAGAAAAGCGAGGCAAGAGCAAAGTGTATTTTTTTCAAATAGAACTACCCATTTTTCATTAGCTCATGGAATGCAGCTTGAATCGCTGCATATGCACCGTAAATTGTTTTTTTCTTACTTGCGACGTTGGCATTGTCTATCTAATTACGTATTAATATACAGGTACCTCCATTTGAAAAACAAAAGTTATATTGCGCTAAAAAGTTTTAGATTGTATAGAAGTCCACATTGTTAACACCCTGTATAATGTATTAATATTTTGATTCAATAGAATTCTTAACGGATCTGTGGTGATTGAAAAGACGTATTTTTTGGCTTCTACAATTAATTTTTAGATACCATGTTTTTAAGCAAAATTTTACTAAAATAATATTAATATAATAATTAGCGATAATCTGCCAACGTCGCAAGTAAGAAAAAACAATTTACGGTGCATATGCAGCGTTTCAGGCTGATCCCCATGAGCTAATGAAAAATGGGTAGTTCTATTTGAAAAAATACATTTTGCTCTTGCCTCAGAAAAGCGAGGCAAGAGCAAAATGTATCATAAGATAAGATATTTTTAAAATGTGCACACTTTGTGCGTCAACAACTTTTATATGAAACTATTTTTCGAAAGTTCAACACCATCGGAAATAATGGACTCTATCGCACTAAAAAACCACCTTGTATATATTGAACTTTGCGTTTTCAGGTCTACTTAAAACGTTCTTAATACTTATCATTAAAATTGGTGCATGAAGATTTGTCCTTTTGTGGCTGTTTTATGGAAAAAGGCAGGATTATTAGTTTTCATTTTAAGTGCGTGTTTTGTTTGGATTCAAGAAGCTTTAGCTTTATAAAAATTGCAACACATACGTTTAGAAAACAGAACATAAAAATAGTTTAGCAGATTCTTTCAATGATGACTCAGCTGCAAACCAGCAGACCAGCTAACTTGTCGTCAGCCCATGTACTTTTTACACGCTGTGTATAATTTGTTACATGCTACTTTCTATTTTAAAAATGAATCTCTGGTATTTCTGTAATTCTGTTGTAAAACTTACCTATGTACAAGATATCTGTGTATAACTTCAGCTACTTCGGGCATTTCTATATACATGCACACCAGTTGGGGAAGGTAGAAGTCAACTTCATAATCACTGAACGTAAACATTTTGTTGACAATGTAGCAAAGTACCTGCAAAATAACAAAAAATTATTAAATATTGCTACTTCGAAACAATTGCGTTATTTCATAAAATACATCAACAATTTAAATTAACGTGAAAACGGATTATGGTTTAACTTGATATCTAAATCTAATGCATTGGGAATTGATACTTCATACACTACACAGGTTGAAAACCCAAACGCCTTTATTATATACAGGGTGGAATATTGTGACAAACTGGTGAAAAGAGCTCGAATTAATTGTCTTCATTTGTTACTGTTTTAGATGTGAATTATTGTTCGTTTCTTAAAAGCAACATTTCCTGTTTCTTCAAATCTGTTCAATACACTTCTGGATGCTTTCAACATTCTCCGAGGATAAACATTATATTAACATTTCCTGGGTAGGTCCTAGTCAGATTCATGGTTACCGACAAAAAATTTATATTATGCTAAAAAACTTGTCAGCTCAATCTATTCTGTCTTGTCAAACTAAATTATTTACTTGTCAAGGGCATTAATTGTCGAATTTCATAATAGAGTTTAACGGCGCTAATTATTGCAACCGATTTGCTCAGAAACTTGCAACTCAAACTATTGACAATTAGGCAGTTTCTGTAAGCTGATTGATAGACCGGCGGGGTGCTCCATTAAAAGATATCAAGTAATCTTTATGAAAAACTCCTACTCAATTTGCAAGTAAATTGGTGAATTCTCCCAGATATTGTATTAGAGGACAGGTAAGATTTTTCTATTTCTTTTACATACTTTTTCCAATTTATGTGTCTATATCTGGTAAACTATTAACCGCAGACCCAATTAACTTTATATCAAAAAGATCTCTATTTGAAGACCAATTGATACAAGGGTGTTAAAGACCAAAGTTTTAAGTTTGATGCCGCGGATTTTTCGGAACACTGTGTGTAACATAAATAGTTTTACTGAATGGCCACTAGTGATGCCAATATCGCATCAAAAGTAATTTCTGAATCACACCGAAATATTCCAGTGGCGTCTGGGTTGCACCACCCTGTATGCAGAGAGCGCGGTAAGCAACTGAAATGTTGCTGAATGAAGATGAAGGATACTTGCCCCAGGTTCCTTGCTGTTGAACAAATAATGCATCGCCATGGGGACATCAAACACTTTGCTCTCCAACAATCTGAGCATTCCCGAACTTTTAGGAGGTGGCCGTTTCAAGTCTTCGTTATTATCACTCGCACTTTCACGACTAACAACTACGGATACCGAATAGTCTTTAGTCCTTTGATGATCCGCATTAGTAATTTGGCACTTTGGTGTTGTTTTAGGCGGTTTATCCAAATCGTCCAAACTCTCACGGCTCTCGTTTGAAAGATGCTCGACGCTGGATTCTCTGGTCGTGTCACTGGTATCTGATCCGCATAAGATGCCACTGTCATCCGATCCTAAGGATGCCAGTTCATCTCGTTGTTTTGCAACCGCATTCTGCAAAACAAAACGAATCCAGTTAAAATCCAAGCGCAATGAAGACTTGATGAAAACAGATAGAATTCATAAACTATTTTTTTGATTCTACAGTTTATAGATCAATCAAATACGGAAAGCCGCAGCAACTGCTTTTGCAACGCCAGGAATGGATTTATCGACCTTGTACCTCTCAAATTACTATTCCACAATACATACTGTTAATTACCTTGATGTGGTTCAAAAGAAAGATTATTTAATGCAAATCCTGCGGTAAAATAAAAAACAATAGTTGTGAGACATTGGGACAAAACAAAATCCCCAATAATAAATTTACCTGACTGAAATGTTGAAACAAAAATAACCTGCTCCGACAGTATTCATAACGGGATCGATCGGATATTAATAAAACCATTACGACTTGTGACATTCAAAATTGCATTTTTAATTAAGAGCTCACCTGTCTGATACATCGTTTAGAAACTTTAATACATAATTCTCAGTAAAGTGTAAATAGTCCACCACATTTGCAAGATTAAGGCTCGCTAATATATTCAGTTTTTGTAAACATTTTTAGATCTATTGTTATCTCGCTTCCTGATATAAACGGTAATAATTCTTTGAATATGGTTCTTTGTATGGCAACATGGTACCTACCCCACTTATATTGACCACCTGCGAATGTTGGTTTTTGTGGGTGGAAGAAAACCAAAAAGCCGCTTGCTTTTCTGGTTCCAACATTTGCACAGTAAAACAGTTTTAAACAGTTAACTATTTTCTGGCTTTTTAAGATTGCTTACCAGCCCTGATGCGATATTCCCAAGAAGGTCCTTAGGTGTAAAAAAAAACAACAAACTTAAACAACGTCATTAAGTATTTTAATTCTATAATACCCTGTAATACTTTCCCGAGTTAATTTTTATTAAATAACTTTCATTTAACCTGGTGGTTCTTTCGCTTCTGCAAAAATTTTTCGCTGCAACCTTTGCAGATTTGCAAGCTGCATCCACCAATTAAAAAACTCTACATTCAAAAAACCGGTCTGATATTGAATGAGCAAAAAAATGAATTGGATATCACCACTTACATAATTAAAATTGCATCATACTGCAATTTTCCATAGTTAGAAAGCGACATTTAGAACTTAGCAGAACTTCTATATTTGATTTCAATGCTATTTTCTAGATACGTGTCAGCTTACATGTATTATCACAGAAAAATCAGTACTTAAGAAAGTTTAAAATTAGTCTACCAAAGTCCATAATAATCTCGTCTAAAACTGCTTATTATGTACCTTATCAAGTGCCAACTCGTAAAGATATAACACCTTTCATGTCTAAATCAAGTAGCTAAGTTACCTGATGATGCCGCACACTATCTGCCAGAACAGTTGCGGTCACATTTTCGCATTCCGGGCTCGGAGTGACATCGACTTCCGGGATCTTCTGTAGAGCAGAATCCAGTGAACGGTTCCTATGGTGGAGAGTCATATGCGAGGTAGATCCATTGGTTACCTGGGCGATAGGTGGAAGGAGGATTCCCATAGATCTGGAATTAAGTAATATGTTAATTAGATTTGATGGGCACATACGGCTGCTAGTCCAATTAGTTTCCACTTTACATATAAACAGCGAACGGATTTCACCAAGACGAACCTTCGTGCAATAATTATTTTAAATCTCGTAACACGATGCAAATTATGAAAAGGAATTTAAAACTGAATATTAGCAGTATTACTCTAAATCTGATGGATTCTAATGAAGAATTTTTTGAAAGTATGCTTTCCTGAAATTAAACGCACGCGGTAAAATTTAAAATCTAAATATGAGAATAACAGCACACCCAATTAACTAATAATTCCTGTTAATTCAAATTAGAATGGCATTTTGTAGGATGCCATCGGCATTTAAAATCAGCAGTGATTATACAGGCCTTGTTTTGGGCGAATGTCCAATGCTATTCAAACGATTAATCGCAAAAAAAATGTATACAAACTTGAATAACAGAGTGAGGCAATTAAAATATTTAGTTATTCCAAAGACGTTCTACCGATCGCAGAAACTGGATAGGAGCTACATGAATAAGTATCGTAAGGTGTCAATATTATAAAACTACCCGAGATTAAATCAGTCTTCAACCTCGAGCTTGTTTGTCTTGTCTGTCGTTCGGTTTATGTTCATAAATTTCTTTGCTAAATATCAAATTTTACCTAAATTGGCGATATTTTTGGGGATGGCTGGGAGGCTCTCTAAATTTTTTATGACTTCGCTTGTTCAAGGGCTGTTTACGTATGAAATTGTTTGAAATTTAGATATAATATGCTCAGTTATATTGTTTGAAATGCTAAATTTCGCTTTAAATTTAAAAAAGTTGAAAAATGTTTTAAATATTTTTATACTTATCCAAAAGTGAGCAACTTGCAAATTGAAATTACAAAAAAAATTTGGGACAAGGAATAAACTTGAGAAAATGTATTGAATGCGACAGTTGTTATAAAAAAAGTTTTACAAAATACAACAATGATAACGTATTATATTCCTAAGAATGGCCGTAGCTCAAAAACTTGTTAAAACAGTTTCAAATATCCGGAAATAGATGAGTTACCTGTTGTCGATATAAACCAGATTAAAATAAAACTACCTACACGAAAAAAAGAACGGGGAATTTGTACATTTCCAGGTTATTCGAACCTATCATAAGTTTTCAGTGTGTTTTTGAAAAATAGGAGTAGCATATGATCTCCGGAACAATGTTCCTTATTCGCGTTTATATTTCTATGGTTTGTTTCGAAGAATAAAAAATAAAATATATGTATAATGATGAAATTTTTAATTAAAATCATCAGCAAAATATCTTTAATTAGGTTTTTTTCTCTGTCGCAATAAGAACAAGACTGGTGTATAACTTGCAACAGTCATTTTTTTAGACCACAAGACTAGAGTTTTGCCTCGTATAGCCTCAAAGGTGTTCAAAAACTAAGAAAGATATCGCCGCAATAATTTATAAATCGTTGCAAATAACCCCACCTTACGGTAATTAATGTATTCCGAATTATTAGCCAAGAGCTTGATATCAGAATCAAAAACTAAGTACCTATTTATAACAAATTTCAAGCTATGCAGCTGTCTTAAGAATAGTGCTTATGAATGTAGCTTTKAACTCGCTCGTTTTGATATTTTTAAACCAGCTTCGCTTTTTACAAATAACTGGATCTTGTTTATGAATWTGAGACSGTGTGCAACCAAGAATTGTTTTTTTCCTCAAAAAATTAGTAAGTAACTTTGTAATCAATTTAGAACTAGTTTTACCCATTCCAAACTGTTTGCAGTCACACCAGTCTACTTCTCCTACTGAAGAGAGGGTCAATAATTAAGCAGTAGATTAATGATACTTTGAAACTAAAAAAGAAATAAGCCACCAGTTGATGGCAACGCCATTGAATTTTCTTTCCATATATATGAAACATGTGAATATTTTGTAATTTTTTAGATAATACGGGTTTTTGTTCAAACGAAACAAAAATCATATATCTGAGTGTGAAGCAAAATGCCACAACCCACCGCTATTTTTTCAACAAGTATAATTTTTTCTCAACAAGTGACGATTATAGAAAAGCTTCATTCCCCGAAACAAAGCATACCACAAAATTAGCTCGCGTTCGTTCAATTTTCGGTGCGGATTAAGGAGCAAATTTAATTTTATGTAAAGCACAGCAACTGATCGATATTTTTATATAAAGTCCTTCATAGTTTCAGTTTGTAAAAAAAACTCGTTAGTTGCAAAGAGCTGCATTATTTTAGATTGTTTTGACCACATAAGCAGCTCCTTCAAAGTGATCTTCAGCAATATATTATACGACTATTAAGTAGGTATTAACAATTACGCACAGATTCAAATTCATCATTTTTAAATGCATTTCCTTTGTTACATAAATCCCATTAAACTTGGTGAGTTCAGCATTTCTGAAGCATGACTCTGAAACGGGAATCGCATAAAACAAAAAAAAAGTTAGCCATTAAATTGTGCAGTCACTTATAGCTATTGCGATAAATCTATCTGGTTTAAATTCCATGTTTACATATTTTATTTTATCAATTCCGTTAGCAATTTCTAAAGTTGATATGTATGCTTTAAGTACGTCCATTAGAAAAGGACTGCTTCGTAGATGAAATAAGACTTATTGCATGGGGAGAACACAGACTTTAATTTGTTTATGCAATAAAAACGTTCCAAATCGGTTTACTACCATTGGGGAAATTCTAGGATCATTCTAATGCTAATAAATAAAGTAAGTACTTGAGGGAAATGAAAAATGGCTATTATTAGAAAAGACTCTCAGTCATATACTAAAACCAAATTTCCTTACAAACAAAACTTTACAATGATTACTTGTTCTTGTCTGCAATAATTAGTTTCATAAATTATTCCAATTATCATAACTTACAAACAAGTATCACGATTGCAGTTCTGGAATGCAAAGTGACGTTACACGCAAACGCTACAACAATCAACCGGAATGTAAAAAATGTCTGCATGTAAATGGAAACAAAACGATACTGACTAATTATAGTCTGAACCATCCCATAAATATTCAACCTCGAGGTGTTCATAATTCAATGCATTTTTATTTGTTTGTCGAACGTCATTAACAACAACAATTCCTCCATTCTTTCAGCGCGCTCAAAGCGCAATTCCACACTGTAATCGAACAGAAAATACGCAAATCCATTGATGAATGAAATTGATTTTTCAATTGCTTGTTAGGGCTTTAACAATAATAACATTACATGCCATTTTAGTGGGAATAAATTGAACTGAAATAAAAATGTAAACAGGATGTTCCAGTAAGGATATAATCATTCCATGAACAATTTCAGCAGAAAATGGGTTTAAGCTTACAAAATAGAAGTATGTAGTTCACTCTTTTTGAATAACTACTATTTTTAGTTTTAATTGCCAGTTTAAGTGATAGCTTTTAAATACGTAAGCTATATTTTCCCAAACGGAACACGTTCGCCACTTAGAAAAATAATTTTATAAATTGCGAATCGTAAAAAAATACAAAAGTGTCATAGAACAACAAAACGCAACAAAATGTTTTCTGTCCTATTAAAAAAATAAAACTTTCTTGATTCATTTGAAAAATAATGTCAATTTTGCTTCCATAAGTAAGCGAACCAATCATTTTAGCATTTTTAATTTTAACAAGTTCCTTGAGAAGGTAATATTAATATGCAACTTCAGCTCGTTAAAAATAATCGAGAGTACGATAACACCATTAAAATATACCACAGCATTGACTGCACTTTTCGAAAACAACCATTTTTGAAGTATACTATTAAGGAAAAATCAGTATAAGAACATAATTCTCAATTGTCTACAATTAAAACACACAAAATATAACTGAATTATTCGTTTGGGCTTTTGTCAATGAAATAATCAAATGAAATAATCAAATCACAGCATTGCAATAACTTTCACACAACGAAATTTGCTGGTTATTGATAATGACTAGGCTGCAAAGTTCATGTATGGAACCTGAAAAGAAATACATTTCACTAGATTTTAATAAATGTAAAATAAAAAAATAGAGTCTTGAAGCAACCCTGATGCGGATAAGACGTTTGGATATATGTATAAATACTGCAAATGACCAATTTTGCTGCTCGCGTGATAATAAATATATATATATATAAACTCCAAAAATATCGCTTCAAAGCTCCACTTCGACAAAAATTGATAAACTATTTCAACTTATAAAAAAGGAAGCATCAAATGCAAGCAAAATGGACTTCTACAATTGGAACATTCTGAATCCACGATTGACCAGCTAAATCAGAAAATTCCGACTGGGTCGACAGTCTGTTTTAATAATAAAGATAATTATTATTTATGTACGTATGTATCTATCAAATTATTTCGAACATCTACTATTACTCTGTTTTGAAACAAGTACGAACACTATTTGAACATGTTTTGATTTATTTGCATCTCAATAAATTTTTTAATGTTAAATAAAACAACAGCTAACAGTTTTGACTCGTGGCAAATCACCAATATATTACTTATTATGACATGTTTGATAGAACAAAACTTGCAATCTAGAAATTACTGATTCTTCAGCTGTTTGAAAATGACCTATGCACGTGAATACATAATGATGAAAAGCAACTGTTTTTCTGAGCTATTATTTTTATTCAATCTTCAGCCATTACCCATTATACCGCTATCGGAAATAGCAGCATAAATGTAAGCATATTAATGAGATAGGATGACATGATGTTAACTCCCTTAGAAGAAAATCACAAGCATTTATTTTTAACTAAACCTACCAGCAGCGTACTTTTGTCACTACATTTATCAAATATGATGGCACCGTTTTCTTGGAAAATTGTGGATTTAGATTAATTTATAAGAGAAAATAAAGTGTAATTATGCTTCAATGTTCCATTACATCTGCAAATTCAATATTCTCAACTTGTGTCATAACTAATGTACCATTATGCACAATCCCATTAGGCTAATAATTCATATCCTCAATAAAAATA